TTTTTACGTTGCCATGGCAACCGTCAAATTCCATGTAGGTCTGACAGAAAATAAGCTTTCCTCAGATAATTCTGTTGTGATTTTAGGGCCATTAGATACATCGTTTCTGCACTTGGAAAAGTTATGATACTTACAAAGAAACTTTTAAAAAGACAAATTACTTTTATTGGGCGACTAGGTACCAGTAGAAGAAAGCGTTTATTTCCAAAAATAATGAATTATTCAACAATTGCCAAGCACAGTTCCTTTGCTGTTGTCATTAGGACTTGTCCTGTACCAATTCTGTTGAAACCTTCTTTTTGTAAACTGTTCCCACTTTTGCTTAAAGATTTTCAACGATATTTTGGCCGTATCAAGGCACGTGACCTAATTTGCATACGTTTGACAAGTCGAAAATAATCACTTTAGAAGATATATTTGTCTCCCAAAACTTTATATTGTTATGTACCGAGCCTCACAAGGTAGACCACCCCCTAACTGTTTTGAGGAAAATAATTGCTGACACATGCCTTAATTTTCCTAAGCATCTTGTAGAGCAAGCCCAGAGCTATCTAATCAATGTAAATTTATGTCGCTCTGCCTTAACAGAACGAAAACCTAGAGGGGGGTCCATCCACCCCTCACTTGTACCACGGCGGGGGTATGAGTTAGCTTAAACGTCCGAGTGTTAAATATCTCAAGCGGTCTTAAATAACCGTGGTATTATCCACCAATACCTAAATTTGACCTCTTCATAATGATGCGTTATTCAACGATTTATCGCACACGAGACATATACGCAGAACCTAATCCATATTATAACATGTCATAGAAATCAAGTACAAATGAAAACCAAGAGAAAATGAGGTGTTCATGGTCAGGGTCTCTTGTGAAGACATATCTTTCAAACATAAATGTTTTGTTAAGAAAACATTCTTATGTACAATATAACATACTACTATATGCTTATAACTCTATACATACTGCACAGATTTGCATCTTTTAAAAGTTGTACAGATGTACAAAAAGGGATGTTTATACACATAAGTACAGCGGAAATGTCGTTTTTTAAAGCAAAAAGCCTTTTTGCCTGACGTTCTGAAAAGCTGCTACGAAATAAAGGTTCTCTAACGGAATAAAAAATAACGATCTATTTAATTTATCCTTGTATCTTTTTAACTAAACTTCCCCATAAAATCCAAAGAGTTAGACTGTAATCGAACAAATTTGGCGAATTCATGAAGGGTATCTATTATTGATCTAATAAACCGTTTATTAGATCAATAATAGATCAGTTTCAAAATTTGCAGATATTGTATAATATCTATTCACAGCTGTTACATGGTCTGACTTTAGTGTGCAAAAATCTTAACTACACTGTTAACTTTTAATGGCTCAGAAACCGACAAGTCAGCTATGTAATTAATATAATATTAATTATCTTTCAACTAGTTCATTGGCTTAATAGTGGATTTGCTTCAGGAGCTTAGTCTGTTATGGCGAACCATGGATGCAGCAGAGTTTGTTTCAGAGTTGGACGATTGCTTGGAGTCTTTTTCATCAGCGGGTAAATAAGGTTCTTTGCCTCTGCTGAAAAGAAATAAGAAGATAAATATCAAGATGTATAAAAAAAATGAAGAGTAAGAGTCAATGAATTTCGTGTGAAGATATGAGACACCGTGTAGAAACATGAAGGATCATGGCAGTATGTACACAACTTAAGCAGCTGTCAAAATAAAGCCTGAAAGATTTTTCAATTTTTTTGTTCAAGCCTGAAACATAACTCAACTCTCGTCTCGGTGTTTGGAAATGTGGTCAAACACGGTCTTTCGAGTTTGATATATTATAATATACCTGAAACATTCCTTATTATTGGATCATAGGGCTAAAATTATCCGTTACACAGTCAATATGGAAGGTAAAAGTTTATGAAGAAAGAAACAGTGAAAGTGCTTATACTTGATAAAGCAAGTAGAGATTAAGATGGAAATACCTGGTGAAAGCTGGTGTGGTACTCTAGGTGCCATGCGCAAAGCGTGACGTGGATGTTTAAATGCTGGGACTACAGGTGAKAGCAYATCCAYAAGAAGGATTCCCATTTGCCACACAGTGCCCTGACAGCCKTCATATTGCTTGGATTTACTGAATTCAGGAGGCATGTACTGTGGTGTGCCTGAATGCAACCAAATCACACAATCAAATAAGCTGCCAGGTTTTATTTTACTTGCAAATGTCGCACGCAAGACACTCCAGCATTATTCTCACCTCTAAATTTTGTGAAAGGTTCTTGTTGAACTTCAGATGCCAGTCCAAAGTCAATCAACTTGGCTTCATCAGTGCACATGTCCACCAGGATGTTCTCTGGTTTGATGTCTCGGTGTAGGACACCAGCCTCCTCGCAGTTGATGTTGGCCTGCAGGATCTGGGCAAAGTATCGTCGGGCTTCTCTTTCTGTCAGTGGTCGTTCCAGGCTGTCTCGGTCGTGTATGACGTCAAACAGGTCTTTGTAGACTTCCGGTCTTTCCATGACGTAAACATAATGCTCATCAGTGTCGACCACTTCATATATGTCGATCGCGTGACGGTTCCTTGCTTGGCGCTGAAGATAAGCCTCGGATGGCATTTCCCCCCACCTCCGTTTATCTGTAGCAAGGGAGGGGAGACAGGGTTAATTTTTTCATACATCATTTTTTTGTAACCTTTCCCTCGCTTTTGCAAGTATCACGACATGTTAATATTTTTTCGACTTAACCACACTGCTCCTTTACACTTAGTTTAAAATCGCTCTGAAACTACCGCAACCTTTTCCATTGATAACCCAATTTTTCATTGACCGACCTTTTTAAATTCCTTCACTGAGCTTTTCTGTACGAATTTAAGCGCTACCTGGGAGGAAATGTAAATTCAGTCAGTTTTGCACCCTTCTACATATGTATTGGAAAATAACGGTAAACAAGATCAGGTCTAGAACTGGCTCGCAGTGTTTTGCTGGCATGAGGCAAACACTAGTGGAAGTCCAGAATAAAACAAGACCTTATATTTATCAGTCTTGCGCGAGTGCCCAATGAAAGGAACACAGCTTTCAATAAAAAAAAAAAAAAANGTCCAGAATAAAACAAAACCTTATATTTATCAGTCTTGCGCGAGTGTCTCTTCAAAAAAAAAAAAACACATAATTTAAAAAAGACATGCAGAAGACCGTTGAGCTGAACTTACCAGCAGATTGTCCGCTTTTCGTGTTGCAGCGACGACTTGACCGAAAGAACCAGCTCCAAGGACTTTTCCTATGTCACAATCAGCAAACTCAGCTGCAAGGCAAAAACAAAGAATAATCAAATTTTAACATGGCCATAAATGTTATTTTAAAATCTGGGCTTAGTTCCCGAAGCTATGGGTGAATTATAAATAAAAATAATTCAACTTACCTTGAGAAGCTAGTTTCTTGATAAATTCTGGCACTTCAGAAAATTTCTCTTGATCGACTCCACAAATAGAATCCCAAGATAACAAGCTGTCGGCTGACAGTATAAATTTCATTTCAGCGTTTACCCAGTCGGGTTTCTTTAGAAAAAAAAAAAATACATTAAAGCAAAACGCAGAATCATCATTACCAATTATCAGTAATAGCTATCGATGTTCATTTGCTTGTGATTGGCTTATTTAGAAGTTTACGGTGCAATGCTTCAATGATATACGCAAAAAAGAACTATTTAGAATGTCGAATAAATTATTAGAAGAACTGTCTGTAATATAACAGTTCATAAAGCCAATGATTCTAGTTAAGCTTTTGCCATATCAGAAATCACCTTACCTCATAATCGAGAGACAAAAAGCTGTCGAAACTACTGATTTTCTTCAGATAATCTTTGTCAGACTCACTCCAGATACATCTCAATTTGTTTCTGTGGAAAAACAATAAAAGACGAGTTCATTCAGAAACTTGTTTAGAAAGTTGTCGAAATATTTATTTTAATTACCTCTGGAAATTAGAAGTGCTTTTCCCCCGTGTCTGGCTAAAGCAATCCTTTGATGAAAAAGAAGGAAAAGTTTTTTTTTTTTTTGTACGCTAGCAATAATTCAAAAATGAACAGAGAGTTCATTTATTCTTAAAATATATTGTAAGGTAAAAATATTGCAACTCTTTCTTCGTTTGTTATTCTAAGTCCTTTTTCTTATGAAGGGGAAAACTCTAAAATAGAAGGGAACGAATCAAGAACACATTTTACCGCTATATCCCCAAACGAAAATCAAAACGATTCTGAATCCATGAATAAATGTTCCCACAGTATTTTCAGAAGTCTTTACATTATTTAAGCCAAAGGAATTCTAACTCACCTCATTTTCTGTGCGCCTTCTTTTCTTCGGCGAAGTTGTTTCTATTTCCATTTTGCGCTTTCTTTTTAAACGCACGCTTTCCGACAAATTCGGATAATTAATCACATGCTTTTCACCACGTGACTCCTTGTTGTTTGATAAGTATTCATTAATCTCAGACATGGTCAATCTCCAGTGATTCAACAACAAACTAACTTGGTACTGCAAGCGAAATGAGTAAACGATTTCTCGCAGTGTTCACGGCAAGCTAATCTGTTTACAACTGATCGTTTCTATGGTAAACTAGAACCATTTTGCCGTTTGTGACGTGTGTGTGATGTCGTGCTCGCGCTGCCCCTCGCGCTCAACGCGTGCGCGTCCTAACGGACGTTACAGTATTCACTTAGTAAGAAAACTGAAATAATTTACTCTACTAGAATCGTTTTAAACTAAGCCATGGCTTACGCAACATGCTTGACCACGTTGTCACGAGTTTCAACAATGATTTTCACACCCAAATTATGGATCTGCAACGTTGATCTTGTGGTAAATATTTGGCCACATGTGTTGATATAATCATGGATCTCCAGCCGTTTGATTTACTAGAACATTAAAAAGTACCGTTGAGTTAATTTCGTGTAGTACGTTTTTTAAACAGGTAGGCTCTTTCCTAATACGGCATTTGTTCTCGCCATAGTCCGCCAGTTGTTGAGTCGGCTCAGTCTTTTCGGAGACCCTATAGTCAAATCGTTGCTTTCATGCTTTTGGAAGATACCAACATTCTCTACCCGGTCAGCTCTTTTGACGGAAGTTTAACTTGGTTTGGATAGCGTCGCAAAAATGCTCCTCTGTAGAAGGACGGTACAGTTGATCGCCCTGATCTTTGTGGACGTTCACTGGAATGGCTCCCGCTTGGTCCTCAGTGAAAAAAATAGATTATTGGGGCTCACAAGAACAGCTTGCTTGGTTCCCTTCTTATTTCTGAGTTTGCTTTCCTTTGAGGTCTTACCCTTTATAGTGCTCCTTTGCCTGTTTTAAGTTGTCTATAGTCTGCATAAAATTAACCCTCGTTGTGCCGCCTCTTGGCACTTGGCTGGTGTTGTCGAAATGGTGAATCCCAAAGTGTTCAAGCTCCGATACTTCTGCACTTTTGGCCTCTGAACTTTTGGTCCAAGCCGCAAATTTTTTGAACTGTCTTTAGGAATTCAATAAAAGAAGCAGGTGTCTTTTAAAAGCCTTACGAATAACAGAAATGTCACTTCGATGACATAATCAAAATGGCTACTTATCCCGTACATTGTTTGGTAACTACTATTGTACGCACAAAAGAGAAATTCAAAGAAGTAAGCAAAGGTAAATTTAAGAAGTGTACAGCGATCTTTAAAGATCCACACCTCATGCTGGTGAACAAATTTACGTAAAGAATGTGCTCTTCTGTGAAATGAAATGCCGATAATTTTGAATTTGATACAGTACCTTGTGCTGATACGATGTCTTACATGAATTATAATACTTAATTTTAACGGTAGTTGAAAACATTGAAGAAGACTTCCAAACCAGAAATTGTGCACAATTCAGTCATCTAAGTTTATGTATAATTCTGCAGGCTTTCCTCTAGCCACAAAACAGTGGAACAAATAAAAGCGCTGAACTTAAGTCACAAAACAGTTAAATAACGACGTTTTATCGACTTCTGGCTTTCGTCCTTGGGTCAAACCATACAATTTCGGTCACCGGTGATTACAAAAATGCTGTATCTTGCGATCAAACTCAAATAAGCTAGCTTTCCGATTTTAAACCATAACGTAAAGAAACCCGCGAGATGTTATCGAAACATTATTTTGCTACTTCCTCTCAGGAAGAAGCACGCTGAGAAAACTCGCCAAAGTGATCCTCCAACATGGCGCACTGTAAATTTGAGGTCACGTGATTGCACACATGCAATTAAAACTCGTCCTTGTTTCTAAAGACAGGTCAGGATGAACAAAGTTTGCAGAGTCTTGATTGAAGCCTCTTGCTATGTATTATAAAAATACTTGGCTTGATAGACTTCGTTATCACACTCTTTCGATAAGCATTCCTTAAGATCAAGAAGAGCAGGTTAAGTTCAGGATTCGTCGCATAAAAAAAATCAGTTTCTTTTGGTTATTGTCAAATTTAAGCGAAATGTTGTTTCTGCAGTTTCCTGGATTCACAAGCAATCTATTTAATCACATTTGGCAAGACACTGCGTGGAGTTTCTATTAACACCTTAATTCGCAGTTTAGCGGTCTGACAACCAGGTTGTGAATCTAGTGTCTAGCAACTTTATTTCGTGGTTTCGACATCATTTACCCAGGTACCGGCAGAACGTCTTAGTCCAAAATTCCATACGAACTCTTTCATTTTCCAAATGTTATCAATGTGCAAATATCTTGCTTGCTTTGTCTATGATCTCACCAGCAAATTTCATTTTCTGATTTCCTAAACGAACAGATGACCTTAAGAATGACGGTTTTCCGATATTTTACTTTCTAAAGCAAACAGTATAAAATAAACTTGACGGTAAAAGTTCACTCTATTCACGGCTACCAAGCTGGTCTTCGATCCTCGATCTCAAAATTGCCGTGGTGAGTACAACTTACCTTGAATTGTTATGTCTTTTATCGTCTTTTAGTTAGGAGTGTCGCTAAATATTAATCAGGGCAATTTATTGTGTCGGTGAGATATACAAACACAAATTAGCAGCTGTATATCTAAGTGAGATGCAGTGAAGAGGTACAAGAATAAACTAATGGCAATAGCTTGTGATTGACACAAGTGATTTAGAAGACATCTTGTAAGAAAGCGTGCGCGAAAAGCCTTACTTCTCTAACCTAACAGGGGTCCTAAAAATGTTTCCCATTTATGCGCATTATTTTCCGGAAAACAAACTATGATTTATGGTACGTAAAAATGTTTTCTTTAATTGTTAAGAAATATTGTTTAGCACCCAATTTATTGACTCGCTTCCCCAAAAATAAGATTAACTAACAAACATACATTTCAGTTTGACTTACTAACTATTTTCTTTGATCGAAAATCAACTAAAAAATATAGGCAAATGATATTAGTTTACTTCTGTCCTTGATAATCGGTTTTTGTCCTGCATAAACTGTCTGAAAATGAGACTGTTTGTTAAACGGTGCATTATGAAGTATGAGGCTCTTCGAAGTTATGATTTCCATGCCGTTTCTTTGTGAAGTAAGCTAATGTGACTTTACTTCAAAACCTCCATCTCTTACAAAATCCACTATTTGGCGGCAATACTTGCTTCGTACCGCGCAGCATTCCCGAACGATCACGCGAAAGTCGTGTATCGGAAACAATGTTCATTGCCTATTAGTGATCGTGTCAATCTAAGCCAACCAATCATAAAAGGTGGGCGGATGACATTTTTTAAGGGTTTGTATCATTTTCGAGCGACCTTTAATAAACAAAAAGCAAATACGGAGCGCGAAAAAAATCGCCTGTTCGCGGGCTAGAATCTTATGGCAAACTGGTTCAAAATGAAAAGGTGAAATCTGATTGGTTCCCTGGGTAGTCCGAGGTTTGCAATACGAACCGCCGAGATGGATCGCTAGCGAATTAGTTTCGGTTCTCTTGTTTCAGCGAATTGCTTTTTCAAAACATTGCTCAAAAGAAAGCCGCTGTTCATTGTTAAGTAAGAATCTTCTTTCCTCATACTTGACGGGCAATTTGAGTCTAACCGTCAAGAAAGTAACCTGAAATACGCACATAAATGCTAAGGTTTCTCGGTCTTTTCCTAGACAATAGCTAGAGTTTTCGAAAAGTCTGTTTTTTGACATTTCATCCGTGCATATTGTAAGAACATTTACATTTTTTAAGATAAATTTG